GGGCGGGCGGAAGGGCTGCAAAAGGGAAGGGGAAACCATACAGCTTAAGAACCTGACTTAATAGATATTATTGCAATAAATCTCCCTTTTTCACAGATACAAAATAATTACTTGCTCAGTCACGCTGGTAAATTGCAAAAGTAAACATTCAAAACTGCCTTGAGTTGTTCCTCTCCTGGCCTGTGCTGCAAGGGAGTAGATGTGGGAGGAGAAGATAAATATAAGGGTCCAGGGAGAAAAAGCAAACAAGTTTTCTCTGATTTCCACTATATCCTGCCATGGGACCAAGGCTGGCACGCCCCACCCCAAGTTCCAGTCAACTTGGGGACTAGAGACTCCCCCTGCCCGGACCTGGCCATTCATAACCCATTCCTGTCTTCTCACTGGCAACAGGTTGTCAAATCTAGCGGTGACAGAGTCGGAACCTGAGGCTCAGAGAGGCCAAGCAACTGACCCCAAGACACGCAGCAGACCAGTCAAGGAAAGTGAGACTAGAAAGCAGCCTCAGGCTCAGTTCTGGACAAAGACAAAAACTCGTGGAAGGACGAGGGATCCTGGAGGTAGAGGTCTGTCACACATATTTCCTCTGTTTCCTCTGCCCTCCACCTACAGGCACAAGCTGGAGGTAAGAACTGGGTAATCTCTCATCACTGTGATCCTTTTTTAAGTGTTTCTCTATCCTAAGAGCTGGGATGTAGTTTGCAGCCTCCCTCCTTCTCCAGGTCCTGTGTTGTGGCTCATGGCTCACCTCCAAGACCAGCACTTGGCATCGTCAGAGCCTGGACTAGGGGTAAAGCCACTTGGGTGCTCACTCTACTTCAGACACTGTAGCTGTGTGACCTGAGCCCAGTTGCTTCCCCTCTCTGGGCTTTGGGAAGATGAGAGGACTGTACAAGAGGTGTCCAAATTGAGTTTCAAGGAGCCTCTAAGTAGAGCCACCAGGAGCCAAGTGTGTCTGGATGAGGAGGGTGTGAATAGAGTGGATTCTGAGCACTTGCAGAAATCTGCCTTGACAGAAAGATTCAAGGATTTTTAAAAACTAGAAAATGTCTAACTCTGAAATCATAAGACCCCAAGTTCTGCTTGCCAATGCCCACACAGTCCAACACCCATTTCCAATCCTGTCCTCAGAGTGGACATTCCAGAGGAGGGTTCTGCCTCAACCACACATGCCTCCCCTCCTATTTCTGCCTTGACTGTCCCTCTTGGAGGCTGTTTGACCTCAGGCTAACCTAGCACCTGGGGACAGGTGGGACTGTGGGCCTCCTTGGCTGGTGCGGTAGCTGGGTAGCCCCACTCCCTGGCCCCAGTCACCTCCCAACCGAGGCATAAGTAGAAAGGTGCCTCAGAGGAGCAGTCACTGTGCTTCCTGTTACAGATGAGACCGTGAGGGTCAAGGAGGCAAGGTGACTTCCCAAAAACAGGCAGCAAACTAGTGCTCCGGGGAACACAGAGGCATGGGGCTTTGATGGGGCAATGTGGTCACTGGTGTGAAAGTTGGCAGTGTCCAAACGTGAGAAGCCTGGTGCGCTGTTAAGAATTCTGGTTTACTTTATTATGATGATTTTATAATGATAAATGATGATAAATGACTTTCCTGCCCCCACTGACTGGCCAGAGAACATTATTAGCTGTGGATATTAGCTGTGGCCAGAGAACAGTGTCTTTCTGGACTTGCGCACGCCCTGGACCACCTGCAGCAGGCGGCACCTCTGTGAGGGCAGCTCAGGTCCCTGCAGCCCTAACCGAGGCGCCCTCCCCAGGGCATCGCCTCCCTCCTCTGTGGGCTCAACACTCACAGGAAGTTTAGGAGGCAGAAAAGTGTCCCTGCCTTTGTGTTCCCACCTCCTGTGCTGGCTCAGGCAGAGAACCCGACAAACCCTTGTGCTGATTTGGTATTTGCTCACTGGCCTGAACCCAGGACTAGGTTTGTCCACGTGGTAGGATTCCCCCACACAGACACGGCTGCAAGGTTCAGAGAGGCAGAGTGATTTGCAAGGGTTATGCAACATAAGTGATCAGCAAATCTGCCCCCGGAACCCAGCTGTGCTGACCCAGGTTGCTTCCTCGACACTGCCTCAGGCCACAGCGGCCCATTCTTTTTGATTGCCAGTCCTAGCAGCCTCCCTGCCTTGGGCATCTAGAATCAACCCTTAGTCTTTACTGACACATTCTTCCCCTCTGTGAGCTGCTCACCTCCCATCCTGGACACAGTCTTTCTAGCTTGGATTACCAATCTGCCCCTCAACCTAACTTCACCTGATCCGAGTCAACCTAGGCATTCACCTCTTGGAAATCGCTGAATCAGAGAAGGCGAGGACACTGGAGAAGTCCTTTCTTCCCTGCGCTGGGTTCCTGAGAAGTTGTTTCCGCCCTGCCTTCTCCGCCTGATCTTCTCCCACAACACACACTTTATTGTCATCCACTAGTCTGAATGAAGACACCCAAACCCTATTTATTTCATCTTCAGAGTATCATTTTGAATGTTCTTTCTTAATGCAACAGTGGTCCATAAAATGCAAAATAAAAATATTGTGGAAAAATTGGGTAGTTCAGAGAGCATCGACAAATATCACCTATAAATCTAATCACCAAAACAGTCTACTGATAACATTTTGGTATATTCCTTTCCATTTTTTTGTCTGTGCATATACCTATATAGCTGTACACTATAACGATTAGGCAATTATACAGTTTCATATTATGCTTTTTTAACTTAAAAATCTATTGGACCATTTCCCTGTAATATGAAATTGTCTCTAAAATGAGTTGTTAAAAGCTCCAGGTATTCAGTCTTATGAATAGAGCATAATTTATTCCACCAATCCCTATTTTTATAAGAGAGTTAGGTTATCTCCAGTTATCTCCTATTATTCCTAATAGGAATAACATGCAGCTAATATCCCAGATGAAAATCTTTCCCACATATCTAATTTTTTCCCTACCCAAATTCTTAAAAATGAAATTACAAACTGCCAGATTTTCCTGCAGGCTGGAGTAATTTATTTCCCATAGCAACATGTAGGAAAATCCCCGTTTTACAGTTCATTGGGCAATGCTGGGCTTCCTCATTTTTCAAGATTATTTTTTGACAATTTTTATAGGCTAAAAGCCAATATTTTGTTGATGCTTTAATTTGCAATCTCTAATATTAGAGGTCAAACCTTTCTGTGGGTTTACTGGCCTTTCTGTGGGTTTACTGTAAATTGACTATTCATATCTCACTAATGATTATTAGTTTACTTTGTTTTAGAAGAGATCTTATTCTAATGACATTAACTACTTATCTTCCGCATATGTCAGCACTCTATTAAACAGGAATTTTTTTTAATATAGCCAAATATTCATCTTTTGCTTTACTATTTCTTCCTTTGTCTTTATCTTATGAAAAGGAAGAAAACACTGGCATTTAGGTGGGGGGAGTGGAGCAGCTGGGGCATATTAAGGGCACAGGGATATTGAGAGAAAGGGAGTGAACTTTCTCTGCACAATTAAATAAATCAGTGGTTCTCAAAGTGTGGACCCCAACTGGCAGGCAGCATCAGAAACTTACTGTCAAATAACAAATTATTGGGCTCCAGCCCAGAGGGACTGAACATGAGATTCTGAATATGGAGGCATCAGCGATGGTTCAGCAAGTCCTCCAGGTGATTCTGACCACTGTTAATTTTGAAAGCACTAATAGAGAAATGTGGGCTTGTGGCTCATGCCCAGGGGAGTAAGGATTCCTAGAACATGGGGACCAGAGATGATGGGAGGAGGTTCCAGGAAGCTAGTGATAGAACAGCTGACTGAAAAGACCCCACTACAGAGATGCCTTAGGGACTTACAACAGTAAATATTCCATTTTAAAATTCAATGTTCTGTGCTGCATCGTAAGTCACCTTTATTTGGCCCCCGCCTTCAGGACAGCTCTCTTAAGTGACAGCATTGTGTTCATGAGGTCTGGGAGCAGGAAGGAGAAAGAACAGGGATGAGCTGCTGAAGAGGTCAGCATCCTCACAGGAACAGCCACGAGGAGGGATCAAGAATTTAACAAGAATAGGGAGTTTTAGAACAAACTCCCAGGATATACAAGGAACTCTCCCAAATATTGAAGAAAATACTGGACTTCTTAGAGCAGAGCAGATGAGGAACTGTGTTGCTTTATTTGCTTAGTGAAGGGAGAGGGGCATCACCCTGAAGCTGAAGGAAGTGGCAGCTTCTAGGTTATGTTTAAAGACCTTTCTCTATTCCACCATAAACATTCACCCATATATTTTCTCCTAGATTGCTTTATAGTTTTAGGGTTTTTGTTTGTGTTTTTTTTTTTTTTTGCATTCAATGGCAAGAAAACATATAGCATGAAATCACTTTTTCTACCCAGATGATCTGTAACTATTCCTTGCCCTTCAGATTAACCATGAGTAGCGAGTATTTGGTAAAAAAAAATTGCTGAATAAATGACATCATTAATAAATACCAGTGAAGTCTCATTCCCCAGAAAGGAAAAACTAAAACTTAACTAAGTCTAACCTTTATCCTCTACAGCCTTGACTTTAATACCCAATTCTAACCTTTGTTCTAGTCCCACCATTGAGGAAAACCTTAACCCAGACAGTGCATATGATAGTCTGAACCCTGACAAACCCAGTGTTATAGGTTAGCAACCTCTGTGATCCCAAAAGAAAACAGAAAAAGGAATGGGTAACAGAGAAAAAAGTAACAATGTGTCAAGGAAAGAAAAAACAGATCCCTACAGCCCATAATAAACCACAGCTTGCAGTGCTTCCCTGCTTTAGTCTACACCACCTTTTTACTAGGATCCTCAACAAAATTCTGAACCAGACCTGATACGCCTTAGACAACTCTCAGGACTTATCTGGGGAGCTCCTATCTGCTGATCCAAACTTCCTGTTAGGAAATGTAAATGCAACAGAATGTGCAGATTCCTGCGCGCCCTTGGCAAGGACACTCAATAAATTATATATCCCCAAAACTCTTTAAACAGGGAGATCACAATGCAGGAACTCAACCAGTCTGCTGTGACAGAATTCATTCTGTTGGGCTTTGCCCCCAACCCCAGGACCAATCCTCTGCTCTTCACCTTCTTTCTAGTCTTTTACCTGCTGATCCTTGTGAGCAACAGCCTCCTCATCACCCTCATCCACCAGGACTCGCGCCTCCACACACCCATGTACTTTTTCATCGGGGTTCTCTCCATGCTGGACGTGTGCTACACCACCACCACCGTGCCCCAGATGCTTGTGCACATTCTCAGCAAGAAGAGGGCAATCTCCTTTGCTAGGTGTGTGGCTCAGATGTACATCTTCCTCCTTTTTGGGGTCACCGAGTCCTGGCTTTTCTCCATCATGTCCGTGGACAGATACATGGCCATTTGCCACCCTCTCAGGTACAAGGTCATCATGACCCGCTGGGTGTGCCTCCTGATGGTGGGCATCTGTGCATTCTATGGGGTTGTGGGGGGCCTGTGCTATACCTACTTTGCTGCACGCCTGCCCTACTGTGGCCCTAACGAAATTGACCACTACTTCTGTGAGGTGCCTGCCGTCCTGAAGCTGGCCTGTGCAGACACATCCCTCAATGACTTGGTGGATTTCATCACAGGTTTCAATGTCATCGTAGTCCCACTCACCCTGGTTGTCATTGTCTATGCCAACATCTTTGCCACCATCATGAAGATCCGCTCTGCCCAGGGGCGGATCAAGGCCTTCTCTACCTGTGCCTCCCACATCACTGTGGTCACCATGTTCGCCATCCCCTGCATCATCATGTACATGAGTCCTGGCTCTGGCTACCTGTCAAACAGTGGCAAGAAAATGGCCCTTTTCTATAATGTCGCCACCGCCTTCCTCAACCCTGTCATCTACAGTCTGAGGAACAAGGATGTGAAAAAGGCCTTCCTCAAATTGATAGGACGGGCCAGGGCCTCAGATTGAGGCTTTAAAACTCATGCCCAGGGGAGCCAACCAAAGGAGGACTCATATTCACCAACTCCCCCAGGAGCTTCCATGAGACCTGGAAGAGCTGGACGCCGTGAAGCTAACTCTTGGCCATCACCCAGCAATGGCAACAGGCTGCCTGGACACTGCAGATTCTATGGTGAGGATGTGACTGAGACAGAGATGATTGTGACACACAGCACAGTGATCAAGAGCCTGGACTTTTGTGCCAGACACCAGGATGAGACGCTTGAATTACTACATATGTGCATTTTTGAAAGTCATTTAACTAAGGCTTGCATCTCTTCCTCACAGGGAAGTTGTGATGATTAAAGGAGAAAATACAGAGACTGATATATAGTAACTTTCAACAAATGTTAATTTAAATGTTTAAAAATGTACTACTTGAGGATCAACCAATAATAAGTTTCATGATCCTCCTGTCCTGGCAAAGTGACTGGAGTCTAGAGAGTAAAAGAGGCGTAAGGGAAGAGGGTTTGAAGAAGTAGAAACTCAAAAACTGAAAAGCAGAGAACGAGACTTGAGAAAGAGAAAATGAACCATATCTATCCATCTACAAATTAGAGCACCTAAGGTCAATTGATATTAATGTAGAAAGAGGAAGATACTATTTTGTAACCACTTGTTTCTGTGCTTTTATATTTTTATACCTTTTATTTTCTTTTTGCCCTGGTTTCTAATAAAGCCCATTTGGGAAAAATACAGCCTGTCTTGGGTGATCTCAAGGAAAGGGGACTCAGTCCACATAAAGGTGAGGGAAATTAGAAAAGGGAGGTGGATGTAGTGGCACCCCCAGATACAAAATGAAATAAGCCCAGAAAGAGGTTAAAAAACTCAGTGGAGAAATTTTGCTCTTTCCCCTCTTCCTTGGAGGGATGTTCCCTGGAATTCTGCTTATTTAATCTTATCCCAGTCTTCATCATTCTCAGGTCATGTTACTGGGCACCATCCACATTAACTGGCTTTTTCCTCTGCTTGCTGCCTCAGCAACTCCTGCAAAGTTTTGGTATGCGGTAGTTGTGTTTTCATCAGCTCTAGTGACATTCAGCTACAATGCATATTCCCATGACTAGAATTAGCTCAAATCATCTTTATAGAATAAAGTCATTATGTACGGCAAGTCACTGGTTCATAAACATTTTCCTCTAGCACATTCATGTTTCACACTATCAAATAATAACAGTCAGTCCAGGTCCTAATTTATGCAAACAGAACATTGCCAAAGCCCAGACTATGGTTCAGCATTGCAGGGGGGAACAAAGTATATTTCTATACAGCCAGCCATGTTCACATTCCGATTTTCACAGCTCAGTTTAAACATGGCATCAAAGGGAATGTAAGTTGGAGAGCTCACCAACAGGGAGCATCTTACGTGAAAGCATCATTTATTGGGGTGGTGTCTGACGTGTCCTCAGTGCCTGAGGGGTGGAGTTTTGCGTGAGTTCACCATAAGTACAGCTTCTCATCTGTTCAAGTGTTACATCTTCAGGCTCCACTGGTCTAGCCATCAGTCTCTCTGACTATGAATTTCCAGTCAAATAGTGTAGACTATTTCACTTCTGCAGGCTAAATCCCAAAACATACAAAGAGGGAATTCTGGGAAACAGTTACCACCTTAAAAAACTGGGATTGTTTTAGGAAGAATTTATTTAGTTTTAGGATTGGGCCTTAGGCACAACTGCGGAAAGAATTATCAACCCAGCTGACAAAATCACAATCCAATCACTGTTATAGCGAAGTATCTTTATTCTGCATTTTTAATTATGATTTTTCTCTTTAATCCATGAATTGAGAAGTGGTTTTAAAATGTATGGAGGGAGCGATTGGGGTCAAAATCAGGGGGTTGCAATTGTATGGGGAATATAAAAATTTTAAAAAAAGTAATAAAATTAAAAAAAACAAAATGTATGGAGGGACTTCTGTTTCTGGACATGATTGAGTAACAGATATCAGAACTATTTTCCCACTTTAAACCACTATAAAACAGGACAAAATTTATGAAGCAACTCTTTACATGCACTGGACAACAAAAGGTGTGTTTGTTTGCTAGGGCTGCAGTAAGAAAACATCACTGGGTAACTTAAACAACAGATATTTATTTTCACATAGTTCCAGAGACTGGAAGTCCAAGACGAAGGTGGTGGCCAGTTTGGTTCCCCCCGGGATCTCTGTGCTTGGCTTGCAGACGGCCATCTTCTGCGTCCCCTCATGTTGTCTGTGCACACGCACCCCAAATGTCTCTCTCTCTCCCAAACTTCCTCATCTTCTAAGGATACTGGTCAGATTAGATTAGGAAACACTAATAGTACTTCATCACCTCTTTCAAGTCCTAGCTCCAAATATACTAGCTGTCTGAATAAAGTTGCTAAGGGCTCCACATATGAACTTGGGGGGAAGGGGAAACAATTCAGTCCAAAACACAGTGTAAGGAAGCGTTTTTGAAAGAAGAGAAATACAGAAGGTGAACTTTCTGGTCGGGAATATATATCTTCTGATTCTTACATTGAAATACCCAGAAGTGGGATTGTTCAATCATATGGTAGTTCTATTTTAATTTTTGGAGGAACCTTCATGCCATTTTCCACACTGGTTTGATCAATTTACATTCCCACCAACTGTGCATATAATATAACGATATAGGTAGATTAAACAAATGGGAAAAATATACTATACAAACACTAATCAAAAGAAAGCTAGAATACTAGCTATACTAATATTAGTCAAAATATACTTCAGAGCAACAACAAAAGAGTATAATCAAGGACAAAGAGTGACGTTGCATAGTGATAAAGGGTGAATTCACCAAAACCTGTCAATCCTAAAAGTACATACAACAAACAACTGAGCTTCAAAGCACATGAAATGAAAAATTATAAAACAGAAAGAAGAAATACACAAACCCACAGTTATATTTGGAAATTCCAAATTTCAGTAAATAATAGAACCAGCAAGCAAAAAGTTCATTACAAATATAGATGAAATGAACAACAACATCAATTGACAGGATCTAACATTTATAGAACATTTAGCTTAAAAATGACAGAATATCCATTCTTTTCTCAAATATATAGTTTCAACAAAACTGAAGTAAGAGCTTGCAAATAAGGAAACCAAAAGCCAAGTTCAGGTTTTTTCCTCAACATAAACAAAATGTCAGACAGGAAAGACTCAATGTAATGGCAAATGAGGTCACAAAACAAAAGACTGGGATGTCAAACCTGAAACCCTTTAGCCATAGCTGTGTCAAGGAAGTTTAGATTTCTCTTCACTTTTCTAAAAGCTTTATTCACTACTGAGCTTAATTTGTAAATTTTTTTTACTAAAAACCCCCCTGGAATTTATACTACAAGCCCCCTGATAAAATGATATAATATCCATGAAGTGTTAGCTAAATCATTGTCCTCAAATTTAAAAATGCATAGAATCTTAAAATGCAAATTCTGGTTCCTTAGGTGTAGAGGTGCCAACATTCTGAATGTCTTTTTTTTTTTTTTTTTTTTTTATTTTATAGAGGCATGTTTTATTTATTTATTTTGTTTGTTTGTTTGTTTTGTTTATACATGCACTGGGTACAGTCAGAAGCACGGGAGGGTGAGAGAATTCACCAGAGCCAGAGCGGGGAGCAGAGCAGGCAGAAGGACCGAAGTACACTGCTGAGGGGAGCAGCGGGCGGCAGGAGAGGTCTGCGCACCATGTGGGATCCTCCGCCGGTGGCCGGGGAGCAGCCGGGGATCGAACCGGCGCCGCAGAGGCCGCGGGCAGCTTCGCAACCCAGCGCTCAACCGCTGCGCCACCGGGGAGGCCCATTCAACTTCCAGTTAAAATGCTGGTCATGCTAATCCACTGACCATTCCTTGAGTAGAAAGAGTAGGAGGAGATTCTCATCCAATTCTAGGAGAGTCTATTCTTGCCTACAAATATCACTTTACTAAAACAAAGCTCCTTTCTTTGTAACACGAGGGTTTACTTGTCTTAAATCATATTCTCTTAATAGTACCAGATGAAGACTGACTTATATTACTTCCCTGAATTCTTTTATATAATCACCATTGATTTTTCTTAAACTGTTCTTTCTTCAGATCTTGTCAAATCCTTGCTTGATTCACACTCAAGTCATGGATCTGTGAGTCTGAAGTCATCTTGTATCCATAAATTTGAACTTATTTCACAAATCCAGAACTCAAACACTCAATCTCATGTACATTTAGTAACAGAAAATATAAATATTGATGCCAGTTCTTTGCCAGGTCTTACAAACCGGTGATAAAGAGATGAATCAAATAGAGGACTTGTGTTCATGGAGTCCACTGTCTGATGTCTTCATGCTTGAGGAATATTCACTGTCAAAGCCTTCTGGGGTGCTTCATATCTAATCTCACTGAATCTAACCCATTAATATATCATGTGCACCCACTGAATGTTGGAAAGAATTTTGATGGAAGTCATGTAGATTATGTCCCAGATTTTTTGCTGGAGGGCATGCTTCTGTGACTTCATTCTGGTGCTTTCCCCCAACCTGTCACTTTGAGGAAAGCCCTCTTCACATCTTTGTTCCGAAGGCTATAGATGATGGGGTTGAGGAAGGCAGAGATGACATTATAGAACAGAGCCAACTTCTTGTCCTCTTCTGGGGAGGCCTCAGCACCAGGTCTCATGTACATAACCATACATGGAATAGAGAACATAGTAACTACAGTGATATGAGAAGCACAGGTAGAAAAGGCCTTGATTCGCCCTTGGGCTGAACGAATCTTCAAGATGGCAGCAAAGATATTGATGTAGACAATGATGATAAGGGAGAGTGGGACTATGAGAAGAATGAAACCCAAGATGAAGTCCACCTGGTCGTTGAGAGATGTGTCTGCACAGGCCAACTTCAGGACTGCAGGTACTTCACAGAAGAAATGATTGATCTCATTGGGGCCACAATAGGGAAGAATCATAGCAGAGACAGTATATATCAGGGCACAGCTAATACCCCAGAATCCACAGAAGGCTACCATTGACACACACAGCAAAGGACTCATGATGACTTTATACCTCAAAGGATGGCAAATGGCCACATACCTGTCATAAGCCATGACTGCAAAAAGCCAAGACTCAGTGATGCCTAGCATCAGGAAGATGTACATCTGGGCCACACATCTCGTATATGAGATGCTCTTCTTTTTGCAAACTAGATGTACCAACATCTGGGGTACTGTGGTGGTAACATAGCCCATATCCAGAATGGATAGGACATTGAGGAAAAAGTACATGGGTGTGTGGAGGCGAGAGTCCATGCGTATTAAAGTGATAATAAGCCCATTACCCAGGAGGGTGATAAGGTAAAGGAAGAGGAAAACAATGAAAAGAATAAGATTTATCTTTGCATTGTGAGAGAATCCTAGGAGAATAAATTCAGTAATAGAGCTACAATTTCCCCAGAGGAAGTTCTGCATCCTTCTCCTGGTATAGGGAAAGAACAGAGTGGTCACTCACAGGTGAAACTCCAGATTCAAACCTTGCTGTGACTCATAGTCTAAAAGTGCCCAATACTAGCAGGAAAGTACATGCTTATTAGGATGCCCACAAAGCTGGAACCCAAATTTAAAAAAAAATTTCTTTTGACACACAAAGCATCTTAATATTGCACTAGTTAGTCCCAGTTCTGAAATCCCAAATCATGAAGAGCACATTTCAAAATGTAGAACTTGCAAAAGGAGGGTCCAAAATTGTGTCTTTCACTTCATTAACTTGTATAGTCTATGGAGCTTATAAAAGATTTCAAAGTGGTCAAGGAAAGAATTGGAAGTTTGAGGATATGACACTTGCTGAGCGCTTCATACCAAATTGTCATGTCTGCCTCCCCAGTGAAGCATCTCCCCAAATGGGCTTCACTGGGACAATTGAGTAGCTTCTTGGGTACTCTGGAACTTCAAAATCAAAGTTATTAGATAGCTGAGTAAAGCCAGAAAAACAGCTATTTTTTTTGAAATACAGACATAACTCATTTTATATTTTACCAATTGAAAGTTTGTGGCAATCATGTGTTGAGCCAGTCTATCGGATTATACTTTAATACAAACAACTTTCATATGCACCTCAAAACAAAAAAAAATGCATGTGGGTCACTCTGTTAGCACATCTGCTTTATTGTAATATTCACTTTATTGTGGTGGTCTAAACCCACACCCACAGTGTCTCTGAGATATGCCTGTAAATTATACTCCAGGTCAAAGTTATATACTTCCATGAACATGAAACAGAAGGAAGGGGAGGGGAAAGAAAAAGAGGAAGGGGTAGAAAAAAGGAAAAAAGAAGAAATAAAAACATCATAATAGGATACTATAGTCAATGAATAAATATATCGTTAATAAATGAAAGTTATTTGTTCCCACCAAGAAGAAAGATGATTAATTATGTAGAGATTCACAGTAAAGAAATATTAAAGAACTTCTTTAAGCTAAAGGAAAATGGTCCCTGATGATAAAACATTATTGAAAGAATGAACACTACAAATAGTAAAAGTGTAAGTAAGTAAGACAAAATATTCGTTGCTTAAAGCAATAAAATAACATTATCATAGGGGACTTTAAATATGGACAAAGAAGTAGACTATATGACAAAAAAAAGATTTTGCATTGTTTAGGAAATGCTAAAATACTAATGTAAATGAGATTATTATAAGTCAACGCTGCATACTTCAGTCTGGATCAAGTGTTAGCACACTTTTTATCTAAGAGGCCAAACAATAACTATTTTAGGCTTTGTAAGTAATTTTCAGTTACTGCAGACTGTTTTTATTCATCTTAAGTCATTTAAAAATATAAGATTTACCATACTTGTTCTCAAATAACAAATGAATAATAGAAAAATAGTAAAACTCAAAATATAAAACAGGATGTAAGGAGAATAAAGATTCTCAGTTAATTCAAAAGAAGCAGAAAAAGTGGGATTAAAAAAAACAAAGGACACATGGAACAAATAGAAAGCAAATAGTAAGATGATAAGTTCAAAGCTAATTTTGTAGCTGTATTAAATATAAATGGACTAAGCAAGCCAACCTGAAAGATAAAGATTATCAGACTGGATTTTTTTTAACTAATAATATGAAAGAATTCTATAAGTAAAGGAATCATGTTTTAATAGCAGAAAAGAACAGAAAGGACAATTTTGGGTGTTTCCATAGTGTAGTGATTGGTAAAGCAAGGATTTTGCTGTAGTGCTCACTACAGCATCGCCAGTGTCAGGTATTGGATACAGCACAGGATAAAGTATTTAATAAATCATTAGAGCAAGAGGGTCAGTCTTGGACTCCATTCTAGAAGCTATGTTGCTAGAACAAGGAGAGGTGACTGATACCTGTCCTTTCCAGTGGGGTAAACACATGTGGAAAGTAGAATTTACAGTTGTGAGCTTCTGAGAGAGGAGTGTGGACAACTTGCAGCATGTAGGAAAGTATATTGTAAGGTAAAGGAAATAACTTTAAGAAAAAAAAGGTGATATTTTCAGAAAAAAAATAGAAATTTAAGGATTAAATTAGAAATTTAAGGATGCTGAGGTCTGTCTACAGAATATCTTAAGGACTGTGATAAGTAGAATGGATAATAATTGCCCTCATAATCCCAAATGGGTTTAAGTATAAATTTTACCAGATGACAACTTCAGATTGAGAAAGTGTTCTAACATTAAGAGCTGTTTAGAGAGGATTGTACTGGGAAGCAAAGCACTCCCTGTTTCTCTTGAGAGTTTCAAGTCAGGCTGACTCTAGCTGATCACACATCAGGGATGCATTGGGGTCAACCTGGAATTAGAGAGCGATGGGGCAGGAGGATTGGCGAGATCTGTTCCATTTGCAAGAGTTAAAAACTTTCCCATCATCTCTGTCTTCTTTATTCTCTAACTTTGCTTTTTCCCTATGCTTAATGCCTGCAGAGTTGAACAAACTCTCACTGTGACCCCACCCCCACTGCAGTCCATCCCTCAGAACTGTAGCATTTGGTAGGAGCAGTGTTAATAGAAGCGCTTTTCCATTGTGGTCTCTATATTCAAGCATCCATACATGGTGCAGATTGTATGTGGGAAAGTGTATGGGGTGCTCAGAAGGGAATGGGAGTGGGAAATAAGTGAGCAGATCCCAAAAGCACACTCATCCCCAACAACTATAACAGGGACCACACTGGCCTGCAGATATCTTGGTGGGAGGCATCTGCCTTGTTTCCCTCTTCAGTAAGAGATCTTTAGAGCAACTCCCAACATCAAAGTGGTCCTTCAAAACCCTGGCTCCCCTGAGATCTCATGGCTTCCCCTCATCACGCCCATATGCTACCGCAGTCCTGCCAACCTTTCCCACCTGCCACTGTCACCCCTTGTCTTGTCCACCTCCAAGGGTCCCATGGATCAGGATGCAGACATGGACTCATCTAGCTGCCTGCCTCAGTTTTCCTAACAACAGCCCCTCCTCCATTTCTTTGTCTTTTTTTTTTTTTAAGATTTATTTATTTTTATACAAGAACTGGGGTACAGGCCAGAGGTGCGGGAGGGTGAGAGGATTCACCAGAGACAGAGCAGGGAACAAAACAGGCAGACGACAGAAACACACTGCTGAGGGGAGCAGCAGGTGAGACAGGAGAGGTCTGCTGCGCCATGTGGGATTCTCGCCAGAGGGCTGGGATCAAACCCGCACTGCCGAGGCTGTGGACAGATTCACAGCGCTGCGCTCAACCCGCTGCGCCACCGGGGAGGCCCTGTTTCTTTGTCTTTATTGGTAACTGAAGGTCAAATGCTTGAGAGAGACGCACACACTAGGTTTGACAAGGACAGAGAGGGCAGAGATGGGCAGTTGGACAGAGAGAAGTAAACACAAAAGCAAATCAGACGGATGGGGAAGGGACAGAGAAAGGGAAGAGCGAGAAGCGTAGGCGTGAAGGGACACACAGATGAGATCTGTAGACAGTACAGAGGAGCAGGGCAGGCAGAAGAAGGGGTGCCTCAGACGAGAAGATGTCCAAGCCTTGGGCCCACCGCCCCCGCTCTGCCCCTCCTTACCTGCTGTTGGGCTTTGCGCAAGGGGTGGGTCAGGAGTCTGTGGAGCCCTCCTTTGAACCTCTGCTCTGATCCCCAGGAGGACAGAGCCAATGATTTCCTAATGAGCTCACTGTGTTTTTGAATTCTCCCAGGTCTGAACATCAAATTTGAACTTCAACCCTGAGTACCCGAGGCTGTGTACAGCCAGAACCCTGATCCTTTCCACCCCAAGTCCTGACACTCCCCAAAAGACATACATGCTGTGGTCAGGCCAGCCTCCTGGTGTCCACTGCGCCCAAGCACCTAACTGACCATTGATGGATAAATGGATAAGCGGATGTGAGGCAGAGATAGATGAGAGAGAGAGAGAATTATATATATCTCAGAGAGATATATACATTAGATATAATACTATATATATAATACAGTATTTAATCGTGAAAAAGAAGATTTTGCCATTTGTTAAAACATGGGTGAAACTTAACAGCATTCTGTTAATTAAAATAAGACAAATACTGCATGTATCATTTATATGTGGAATCTTTTTTTTTTTTTAAGAAAAAAAGATCAAATACAGAAGCAGAGAGTAGAAAAGCGATAGCCACGGCCCAGGAAGTAGAGGAAATAGGGAGAAATTGCAAAAAGAATACAAACTTTCACCTCTCAGATAAATAACATCTAAGGAATAAATGTAAAACAGGGTGACTATAGTAAATAACACCGTGCTATATCACTGAAATTTGCTATGAGAGTAGAACTTAAAATGTTGTCTCAAAAACAAATATGTGAGCTGATGAATGTGTTAGTTAACTAGATGGGAGAAATCCTACAATGTGTATATATATATATACATATATATATATATATATGTATATATATATATCAAATCACTTTATACACTTTGAAATCTTACAATTTTAATTTACAATTTTATGTCAATTACTTTAGTGAAGTCGAATTTTTTAAATAAATATATACATATCTACACACATATAATGGACTGACTACTTTTGACCTATACAGTAAAAAAGTGTGAAATTCATATTATTGTTATGAAATCACTATATCTCGACATCTTAGAAAAGAGAAACACAACAAAATTATACTTATATACATATATATTTATATATGTGTGTGTGTATGTATACATATATGTATTTTTTTTTAATCTGGAAGCACATTTTAAACCTTTGGTGTGGGGGCTGGTACTAAATAGAGTATCAAAGAGGGCTGATGTATTTGTATTGTTTAAATGTTTATAATGAGTATTTCATATCAGTGTTGACTTGTATAATTAAAGTATAAAGTAACTGCAGATAATAGCAATAAAAACACTCAGGGCTTTCCAATGTAACCAGATGATTGCTGTCACTTTTAAGGCTCCTCAGAGCTTTGATTTGCAGGAAATGACTCACATCAAAGCTAGTTTAAGGTAGAGAAAAACTTCTCAGGCAGCTTGTGCGGTCTGAATTTGGGGCCAAACTTAGGACTATCATATGGTTTCCTAAGCACAAGCACCCCAGGTTTGTCCTGCTGAGAATTCCCCGTGAGCTGTGCCTTAGCTTGACACTTCTCAGGAGGACATAAGAACTGTCAATTACACAGGGAGCTCACTCTTTTAATGCCAATTAAGCAAGAAGTAATATCTAGATCACTCTTCCTCTTTCCCCTCCTGCTGAGTCTTCACAAGTTTATTCCCCAGTTACTGAGAGCCACTCCTGGGCTCTCTGTCTCAGGAGCCCTTTCCTGACTATGGCACAATTAAGCCACGGATGAGTTGCTCTGGAATAAGAAGTCCCGCGAGACTTGTTAAGAATATGGAAGGAATATCATTAAGAACTTCAGCTTATTAGACAGCTGAACCAACACCAGCAACTAAGTAGGAAGAACAGAAGTGACTCCGTGTCCCTCAGAGGCAGCTGAAGAAACTTTTTCTAACTTTTGCTTAACTTTTATCCCAAGTGTGTGCTCCAGCTACTAAACTCATACCCAAGGCACCTTCACTTTCACCACCACCATCACCCTGTTTTTTTATCATATATTTCATCATAACTTCATCACCCTATTAGTATTCTCACCACTTTCAGCCACCACCCCCCAAATACTGTTCTTTCCCTACTGCATTATTCCCAATATTACCCACTCATTGCTCATCATCTCTCATCATCTTTATCATCCCCATTACCATTGTGAGCTCAATCCTTCACCATGTGTCAATGACTCATCTCCATCCCTCCCATGACCATCACAATACAGATCTGAGCTCGCAAGAAGAAAGCAGTGTCCTGAGAATTCAGAGAAAAGGCCTCTATTTGAAACCAGACAAGAGAAATATTTTTAAATAACTGTTCTGTGATTTCAATCAGGTACAAAAGGACAACAGGGGCCCTGATAAGATGATAATAGACTGGGATAAGAAGAATACAAGAAGTTAAATAAAATCTAACACAGAAGTCAAAATATAGCCTGAATTGGAGATGGGAAATTGGAAGATTGACCTTGAATAACAATTTAAATATTCCCAGAATGCAGAAGGAAAGATAGAAAATGATGATGACTAAAGAGTTAGGGTGAGATGCAAAGATCCAGCCTATAAGTGCTAAATAATTTCTAAAGAAGAAAACAGTAAGTGGATCAGAAACAACATCCAATGGTATAATAAAACCTTCTGGATGTCAAATACTCTGAAGTTCAAAATGTCCCACTATAGTACAGGAAATATTAATGAAAGAAGCCATTATCTCAATGAAAGATTATGGCCGGCTAGTAATCTGTTCTCCACTAGAATGAATCATTCAAAATATGAGTCCTGGAACATCATCCTCAGTTTTTAAATATTTAATAACTTTCCAGTACACTCAGATCACAATCAAAATCCCGAGGTGACCCACAAGACTGATGGTTGGCCCTGCACATCTCCACCTGCTTCTGCCTTGCTTTCTGCCTAACAGGCCTTCTCTCTGTGCCTTGCACATGCCACGCTCTGGTATATATTTCCTCTCCCCTCAGGAATGTCTTCAACACATCAATTTCCTATGGCTAACTTTAGGGTCCCAAACATCATATCCACAAGGAAACCACAGACCTAATTAGACCTGTCTATATGCTCTTGTAGCACTGTGCTCCTTTCTACATTAGTTCTTCTATCAGGTTTATATTTCTTTATAGGATTCTTTTATTACTATCTGCCTCAGTCTCTTAGAGTTTAAGATCCACAAGAGCAGAAACCAGAGTCAAGTCACATTTCAACGCCATATCCAGACCTGCAGGATGTACACTTCGACCTCATGACACTGAGTGGGGAAGAGTCCCCTCTTCTTCCACCTCCAGGGACCTCCTCAGTCAGCCTCTTGCCTTTAGTAATGTAGATGGAGATGGAAGGAAGGCACTAGAATATCATCCCTGAAACTCCAGGGGTCACATATCTATCTCCCAAACCCTCAGGGAGCACCTGCATTGTGGGGCAAGGGTGGGGAGAGGTCTTGAGTGGCTACACTCAGCACAAGTCTCTCTCCCTGAGGTCTTGAGTGGCTACACTCAGCACAAGTCTCTCTCCCTGCAGTCACTCTGATCAGTCGCTAGGAGGGGCCATCACCTGACTTGTAAGGGGCAGGTGGCGAAGCTGCCCGCAGCCTCTGCAGCGCCGGTTCAATCCCCGGCTGCTCCCCGGCCACTGGAGGAGGGTCCCACATGGCGCGCAGACCTCTTCTGCCGCCCGCTGCTCCCCTCAGCAGTGTACTTCGGTCCTTCTGCCTGCTCTGCTCCCCGCTCTGGCTCTGGTGAATTCTCTCACCCTCCCGCGCTTCTGACTGTACCCAGTGCATGTATAAACAAAACAAACAAACAAACAAATAAATAAATAAATAAATAAAAAACATGCCTCTATATATATAAAAAAAGATTCTCCTGTTTTATGAACTTCTCTTTCATATTTCAAATCTTGTCGTATAGTCTACCAGTGTGAAGGGGGCCGATGCTCCCCTTCATAATCTATTTTCCTGGCTGCCTTCAGAAATGGGCAATTTATTCCCCAAACTGTTGCATGTATTTCTGATTTTTCTTCTTGCCACAGTCCCCCCTTTATCTAGGTTTTCAATATGAAAGAAAATACTGCACAAAAACTTCAGAGAAATTTGCCAAACAATCAGACTCCCCCATTGGAGGTACAAAGGAGCAGCTCTCCCTCAAGGGGAAAACCTTCCATCAGAACAAACAAGCAAACAAACAACCACAACCCCCCCTTGTCCGCAGGAGATAGCCAGACCCACTGCAATGCTGTTTCCATAGAAATGGAAGGATCTGGGGACTTGAAACTGGAACTAGAGGGTTAAAATTGATTTTCAGACACTTAAGAGCCCACAAGAAAAGAAGACCAATCTCACTTTCTCTTTGAGGCTTCCTTTCCACAGGCACAGCAAAGACAAGAGGCTTATGGACAACCTTGAGCTGACCGCCAAGGCTGGCTGGGAACCCAGAACGCAGGGGGCAGGTGGGGGCCTCTTGTACACCCCAGAGACAAAGGCTCCAGATAGTGGTGCTTTTCTTGTTTCTGAACTCCTTACTGCTGGTAAATGATTCGCGGAGGAGGCTGTCTTATTAGCTTCTTTTTCAGAATGTGACGAAAACATTTTTGAAGTTTTGATAACAGACATTTGCCCCAGTGTTTCTGGTTCCAGTTAAGAATCAGGCAATAAGCCAAGGGAGCAGCAGGACCAAGAGAAAAGCTGTATCACAAGCCCTGCTCCGGAACACGACTATAAGACCCTGTCCCAAAACACAGGAGGGCATCATGTTGGGTGTCAGTGTTCAGTGCTCATTTGTGTGCCCTCCTGCATGCCCCCCCTCCCCGATTCCCTCCTGGCGGTCCAGGCTTAACCCCACCTGACTTTCACCCACTACCTGACTACAAAGTCTCCTCTCTGGCTCTCAGTGTCCTCATCAGTAAAATGGACATCATTTCTCTGGCACCTTTACGTTCCTGGAATGCTATGTGACATAAAAGAACTCTGGAAAAGTTGTAAGTTGACTAGCTGGGGTCCCTGAGTGCTCCCCAATCTCCCATTTTGTTTCAGATGGATTCTCCTTGGTCCCAGTCCTCTAACTCTATAGGTTAGTTTAGTTCTTTAATCAATTTTTGCCTGCTGAAGAGCAAAACTACATATTATCCCAAGGAATGGAGAGTATTTTTTTTTCCATGACTACTTTTCAATCCAGAGCCTGGACCCTCTTCTCCGGTAGGTGGAGCCCAAAAGGGTGTGGCATGTGTGCTTCACAATGGGCGAATATTCAGTCACTGGTGATGGGAGCGTCCTGTGAGAGATAAATGCTGGCTGCTGAAGCTCATTTACTCACTTTGACAAGATTAGTGACTTGGAAAAATGACGAAAAAGCTACCCCTGATTTCCCCATCTCAACCCCTTAACCCCAACCAGCCTCGACCTCCTCTTCCTGCTCCTTCAGGCCCTCGTTATTCAACCCGCTTTCCTCCCCTAAACCCTAAGCCTCTTGGCCATGCCCGTGCTCCCCAGCCCCAACCACCCGTTTCCAGCCCTACCCGCTTCCCTCCTCTGACCAACGTCATCCCTCCTCTGACCAACGTCATCCCTCCTCTGACCAACGTCATCCCTCCTCTGACCAACATCATCCCTCCTCTGACCAACGTCATCCCTCCCCGGCCCCCTGCCTGCAGGGCTTCACCCCCTAGATCTGTTCCTTCCAAATCATCTGCTCGCCGCTCAGCTGACCTGCATCCCCGTTTTGGTATCTCACCTTGCTTTTCCCTGAGTTCTTCTCCTTCCCATTCACCCTAGTTCCTTGGACTCTGGTCCTTGCTGACACCCACAGTCAGACCCGGTGAGTCCCATATCTTAGCCGGAGTGTTGGTGTCCCTACTGGAGGGACAGTTCCAGTGCAGTTCAGAATTGCCAGGACTGGATTCCCAGTGGCCTGACTCGGTAGACAGAGGATACTCAAGATGACAGCAACCAGCATTCACCCCAGACGGTAAGTTTGGTTACCCCTATTTCACTACGTCATTTTCAGCAGCGGCCAGATCCTGATCAGCTGACCACTGTACCTCACTGCCATCTGCATGCTGCCTGCACCCTCTTGGTATCCATGTCAGACGCCAGAGACAAGATCTTTTCTCAAGAGAACCTGTGTCATTTCCCCTTTCTCATCAGGCAGCCCTCATGAGCCTCTAGATTTGTAGCTGGCTTGTCCATGGGACTTGGTCTGAGACCGCACCATAAACCACAGGACCATTGACAGAGAAGGCAAGAAAAGTAAGGAATGGGACACATCTGATTGCATTGAAGGAGAGCAAGTCTATACTACATTCCGGGTTAGAGTGAGTGAAGGAATGGGGGACCCCTGAGAAATCACACACACAGGACACAAACCCCTACTATAGATATGACGGGGCTCAAGATATTTTTGGTCATGTTCTTCCAAGACTCCACTTCCCTGCATCCTAGGATTCTAGAACCTTGCCAGGTGCTTTCTGCCCTTGAGAAATGTCTCCTGCAAGAAAAGGGAGAGGTCCTCCAATGTGCTCTCATCAAAACTCTGAAGGTTGAGCCTCTCTCTCAGTCTGCTGCTTCTACCCTAGAATGTGGGAGGAACAGAGTGTAGAAAAGCCAACAACTCTCCCCTTTCACCATTCTGCCCCATCTGCCAAATGGAGAAAGAGGATCAGAGGCTTTTCTCTTTTATTTGTGAATTTGGTGATTTGTCATGATATATTATTCTTTTTCTATATTGTTGGATGTCATTTTCTCATACTTTTGCATCTATGTTCGTGAAGGATATTTATCTCTAGTTTTCCTTTTTGTAATAATTTGTGTGGCTTTAATATCAATGCTGGCCTCATAAAATGAGTTAGAAAACACTTCTGTTTTCTGAAAGAATTCGTGTAGGATTGGTATTTTCTTCATTTCTGTGTTTGACAAAGTCTCAGGAAAAGCCATCTGGGCCTGAAGAGTCATATTGTGGGACTTATCCCATTACTAATTCACCGTGTTCTCAAATAGTCTCAGAGATTAGAAGCACATTGATGACTCTGGATGACCCACGGTGAGCAGAAGCAGAAGCCCTGGGAAACACGAACGTGGAGCTGCGGTGGAAATAGATGAAACGATGGTGATTGCAATCCCTGTGCCCCTGACCTCTGCCTAACCCGATCCCTTGGACCACCGGGGTCCAGGTTGACAAAAAGTCAGTTTTGCAGGGGATAAAGAGACTCTTGATTCAAAGGTAACAACGTGATATTTCATTTTCTTCTCCACCTTAGGAAGGCAGTAAAGACTTAGGAGACTGCTCAAGCCTTGCTAGGAAAAGGGACCCAGACATGGCTCACAATGACAAAGTAAAATGCTTTTCTAGCTCAGCCAGTGTGTGAGGGAACCTGTTTCTGAATGACATAAGGATTTATGTAATTCGAAGAAAATCACAGTTGAACTGGTCAATATCGAGTCAGCCAGCAAACATCAAACACCTGTATCTGTCCATTGCTCTGCCAGGTACCAGTACCTGTATCTGTCTATAGCCCTGCCAGGTACCAGTACCTGTATTTGTCTATAGCCCTGCCAGGTACCAGTACCTGTATTTGTCTATAGCCCTGCCAGGTACCAGTACCTGTATTTGTGTATAGTTCTGCCAGGTACTGGTACTGCAGAGATGAGCCATATAGATCTCTTGTTCTCAAACAACTTAGATGTAAACAAATAAGTTCAATATTCTAGTAACTAGAATACTTGGGCTAGAGCATGACACAAAGACAAATTGGACTGGGCTACAGAAAGATTTTAAAGGATTATGTGTGAACTTGTTATAAACACTGGGTAGGTGTTCCCCAGACTGACAACAGAGAAAGCACTTTTTCCAGGCCAAGGAGCCAGAGGTTAAAGCAAGGAGTCAGGAGGTATATTGCTAAGTTCTGGAAACTGCAGACTTGCCCATACAAGTGACATGTTCAACTCTGTGCCCTCAGACATCTACATGTCAGGGAACACACTGTGTCATGAGTAAATGAATTAATAAGTAAATGAATGAATAACACATTGGGAAAGACCACACCCTTTCAAGTCAAGCGTTCAGGTGCTTACTAAAACCAGGAGTGGCTCATTTCTTATGCAAGGTCTCCTTTAGGTTCTTTTAAAATAAACTGTATTATATAAGGTATCCAGAGTGGTCAAACTCATAGAATGTGAAGTGGTGGTTTCCAGGAGCCCAGGGAGGAAGGAAATGAGGAGCTTGTCATTTAATGGGCATTACAGAGTTCTGGAGATTGGTTTCACACGGTGAATACCCTTAACACTAATATGCATTACTAAAAAACGTTAAGATGGTAAATTTTATGTTATACATATGTAATTTTTTTTCTTCAATAAACCATTCAACAAGTCGCTTCCATTAGAATCCCCGTTGCCTGGCAACAGTGTGGCGACAGCTTGGCTTGGCGTTGCCTGGAGACGGTTGGAGGCCTGGCACCGAGCAGGCTGGGAGACTCCGGCCAGCGCGAAAGAGGGCAGCGCGGACAAGGCAATGGCCACACACCACAAGAAGGAGGTCGTAGATGAGGTCCACCATAACCAGATCTTGCGTGAATTGTACCTCAAAGAGCTACGAACCCAAAAACTGTACACAAAGTATCACGTGAACCCTCTACGCAAGGGTGAGAGCACTGTTGGATGCAGGCAAAGAGGGAAGGAAGCAGTAGGGGGAGCCAGACAGAGCAATGTGGGAGATGCCTTCTCGAACTCAACCCCTTAGTAGACTTCAGCCTTTGTAGACTTGGGGGTGGGAGTGGTTCTTGCCCCACGTCAGATCAACGTATTAAAAGTATAAAATGCACTCATCTCGCAATTAAATACTATTTTAGTTACACTTAATATTGAAAGACTTATCTGATTTTGCTTTTAAAAGTAATTATATTTTGCAGGATTTTGTTTCGTTTTGCTTTGTTTTTATCTTAAAGATTAAATTTATTTATTTATTTATGCATGCAAGATCTAGGGTATAGGCCAGAGATAAGAGGGTGAGAAGATTCACCAGAGACAGAGTGGGGAGCAGAACTGGCAGACTGATTGAAATGCACTGTTGAGAGGAGGAGAGGGCAAGACAGGAGAGGTCTGCTGCGCCACATAGGTTAATCCCTGGCTGGGATCCATCTTATGCCACAGTGGCTGGAGATAGCTTGATAGCACTGAGACTTTAACCCCTGCACCACCAAGGAGGCCCATGTTTTGCTTTGTTATTAGTAAGCTAAAGTTGGTGGGGGGAGTTGTTGTTTAGTGTGACTGAGGAATGGATTTTTAATTGCCTTTTGTTTTAATAACTTCAGTTCAAATAGTCACATGTGGTTGGTCACCACAATATTGCACACTTGCTACTGTGATGTAAGGTCCTCAAGAGCCGTATGTGTTCCTTAGTACCCAGCACAACACCTGACATGTGACAGACACTCAGCAGTGTGGGGTGTCAGCCTAAGGTGGGTCTCAAAGAGGGATGGCGTTAACTCTAACGTGCACCTGTGATGCTGTTTTTTCTCTAGTTCACACAATTACCAGGAAACCCATGTCTTGGCATGATAATCTGGAGGAACCTGCAGATGGTAAGTACTGGATTTGACAGTACCATTGAGATAGAGCACAGGTAGGCGGCTGAATGGAGACTCCTTGGGGAAAACATCAGTTCCCTGCTTTGATCATCTGAAAACTGGACTCCTACTAGCCAGACTCACAAGAGGTTAATATAGTCAACCATACTGCCAGCTTATTAACTTCCAATCCAAAAGAAATATTCCTAAAGGCCTTACCATGATTAATATGACCCATTGGGGCAAAATAAGGCAATATCAGGACTTATATTTGTTTACTTCTATGTATCAAGAATTATGTAGGCATTCATTCATTCATCAAACATCTGGCTGTTACAGCACAGGTTCTAGAGCCGTATTGAGTTCAAATTCTATTTTTTTTTTTTTTTTTTTTACGTCTCTGAGCCTCTCAGGGCCATTATGAGGATTCAACAGATAATGCTAGTGCAGAGAACAGTACATGGTGATTAGGGAATATTAAGTTATTCTTTTTTTTTTTATAGAGGCATGTTTTATTTATTTATTTGTTTGTTTGTTTTGTTTATACATGCACTGGGTACAGTCAGAAGCGCGGGAGGGTGAGAGAATCCACCAGAGCCAGAGCGGGGAGCAGAGCAGGCAGAAGGACCGAAGTACACTGCTGAGGGGAGCAGCGGGCGGCAGGAGAGGTCTGCGCGCCATGTGGGACCCTCCTCCGGTGGCCGGGGAGCAGCTGGGGATCGAACCGGCGTCACAGAGGCCAGGGGCAGCTTCGCCACCCAGCGCTCAACTGCTGCGCCACCGGGGAGGCCCATATTAAGTTATTCTTATTATTATCGTGTCAGAATAATGGGGCCAACAGACTGGAGGTGTGGAGAGAGGATGTGGGCAAAGGACCTCACAACATAGTGAAGGAGACAGAGAAGTAAAAAATAAGTAAATAGTAAGATTGGTATGACAGCAGCGTAGTACACAAGTGCCTAAGTCAGGCAGTGCAGTTCTGGGAAGTCCTCTTGGAGGTGATAAGATGGTGAGGTGTGGAATATGTCAGGCGTAGAAGATTGTGGAAGAACACTTGTATGGAGAAGCACACAAATGAGAGACACCATACAGTCTGGGAACTATAGCAGTTGGGCATGACCTCAGTGCACAGGTGGTCAAGAGAGAGGGAGTGAGGGGAGAGAGGTATTTGATGGGAAGCCTAATCCATCCCGGCCAGCTCTCTTCCTTCCACTCTACCTTATTAGAGCAGAGTTTGATGGAGGAAGGATGTAGGATTATAGAGTAAGACAAAAATGGGAGTGGGGGATCCCGTAGCACGGTGGAGACAGATAAGTGAACAGACTAATAGAATGCTGTCAAAGGACACAGATAACTACCGGATATAATCTGTGGGAAGAGCTGGGAACTAGCACAATAAGGAAAGCAGCTGGTGGTGAGGGTGTTTTGAAAACCAGGCGGGAGTTTATTCCCAGCTGCCTTATTTTGAGGATAAACTGGGCCCAATGTTAGGCCCTAAATTCATATCCTTTTGCTCCATTCTCAGTCATCTTGCTGAGGTGGATATTTTCCTCCCATTTTACAGATGAGCAAAGTGAGGCCCCAGAACCATTAAACCACCTGACAGGCTAGTAGTTGGAAGGGTCAGGAGTGTGGGACTATAAAGTCCAAGTCCTCCTGTTGTCAAACTGCTTCTCTCAAAGGGAGATAGGGTAGAAATTAAAAATGAAAGTTTTGAAGTCCCAGGCCTGTGTCAGCAGTCACACATGCATACAACACAGTGGGGTCTAACCTCACTCCTTGCAGCTCTCCTCCTTACTCTTGAGCAGCCACAACTACGCTGACCAAACTGGCTCCTGCCTCAGGGTCTTTGTTCTTGCTGCCTGCAGTGTACTTCTTTGCACACTGAGGCCTCCCCTTACCATCGTATCTACAGTAGGAGCCGTGAACCCTGCCTGCGTCTTTCCCTACCCCCTTCTTCACAGCTTCTATCACTGTCTACCATCATGAGGTTCATCCCACCAAGATGACAAGCTGCAGAAGAGCGGGGACCACATCTGACTCTGCTCTGCCTCCAGGACACACAGAACCACCCAGCATGGAGTTTGTGCTCAATGAATACTTGCTGAAAGATGAGGCAGACACCCCTTGTGAGGCCTAGGCAAGCCTCTGAGAGGCCCCTAAGGACAATATGACCAGAGAAAGGGCCAAGAATCACTGTTGGGCCCAAAGCCTGACTCCTTCCAACTCATGCCTCCTCTCCCAGCCAGGTTTCTCAATCTCATCCACCATGCAGCCCAGGGACCAACGAGAAAATATGAGGAGACACAGACGGAAAGCCAAGAAATCGGATGGGACTCAGAACCCTTGGTAGGTGTGGCTCCTTTACTCAGGAAGCATGGAAGCAGTACAGGTGCAGGAGGAGGAGGGTCTGGGGCCAGACTGCCTAGGTTCAGCCTCTGGCTACCGCTTCTGGCTGTATGACCTGGGCTAGGTTACTAAGCTCTTTTGTGACTCAGTTCCCTTGTTGTAAAATGGAGACTTTACAGTACTTATAAGATTGTGATGAGAATTAAATGAGGTGTTTGTGACATGCTTAGAACAGTGCCTGGCGCATAGTAAATACTGTGTTGTGTTGATTAAACAAAGGCTGCTGCTGACAGCCTGAATTTGCTCCACCAGTTATCAGTGGGCTGATTAGGGCATGTCACTTATCTCCATGTCCTGTCCCCTCCTCTGTAAGTGGGAGTGTTAGTCACAGTACTCACCCCATTTAATTGGGAAGACACCATTTGCTCTAAAGGCACTTGGGTATCCAGCTTAGTGGCTCTGGAGCCAAAAGCCCAAGTTCAGGTTCAACTACTTCCTAACAGTGGTATGTGAATGTCTGTTAACCTCCATTTATCCACCTTAACATAAGGTGCAGCCCTAAAAGATAATTATGCTGGATGGAATTTCAGAGTGGTATGGTTGGGGGCAGTGAGGCTTGATCAGCCCTGACTTGACTTCAGGCTCCCAGCCCCTTGACAGGACTTCACTCCAATAGGCTGAGTACCCCCAACTCCAATACTGGGGTGCTAGGGAAGCCACACTCAATGAATACCTCTCAGCCTCTAGTCTCCTAGTTATATTTGTTCCAAGTGTTTGCTTTAAGGTTATTCATTGCACAGTGTAGCTTCTGTAAGATTTTTGTGTGAGAGGGGCTATTCTTAGTTGTCTGTGTAACTACTTCAACGGAATTCATTCTTTCAATAAATATGTATGGAGTCCCTACTATGTGCTAGATCCCGTTCTAAGTGCTGGGGGTAAAGCAGTGACTTAAACAGGTACAGCACCTTCCCTCAAGGACTGTATATTCTGGGAGTGAAGGGTAAAGTAAAAAGTAATTTAAGTCTCCAGGTTTACCTGTTTTCAAACCCCAGTTTCCCTCCACCCCCACTGGCTCCTAATACCTGCATTCGCCTCTTTAGATCAACCAGGACCGCAGTGATCGCAGGTTGAACCACTTCCGGGTCTACAATGACATCACTCTGTACAAAGCGAAAATGTGGAGCTTGGGAGAAGATGATCGCCACAAGTAGCATCCCAGCAGCCCCTACTATTCACGCCTGAAGTACGTCCTCCCAACTTAAATAAAAATAACTTCAAAACCTCAGTTTGACATAACCTATCCTGGGTCTCCCATTTCTCATGTCTGCCCAAGTCCACTAGTTCAGTTCTTTAATCTTACAAACTAGTGGGAGAATTCCCACTAGTTAAAGGCAGCTTACAATTATCTTGTTTCTCCAAATACCAAAAAAAAAGCATAATACAGGTATAAATAAGGTATAAGGTACGACGCCACAATGGGATAGGAAAGAAACATTAGCAACCAAGGAAACAGAGGACATTTAATGGAAATCTGCTGGAAAGTGGAGGAGGAAACCATGCCCCCAGAGCTGTGGAGAGTTCAGGACTCCAAGACAGTGGGGTGTGAATCAGGGGACTGAAAATGGACACGAGGAGTGAGACCCTCTCCAAACACACCAGAGCCAGTATCTCTCCCCACAGAAGTCTGTGGGGACTTGACGAGGTTGTCTTCAAGCAATGGGGAAAGTCCAGGGCTCAGGGACTCCAATAAAACATGGGTAACTGTGAGGGCAAGGCTGAAAACAAGTTGAACCCTAGCCCAGACAGATCGCATTTTTACCCTGGCTTTGAAGCTGGTGGGTTTGTCTAAAGACTCCCACCTAGTACCATTTGCAAGTCTGTAAAGAAAGTCAGAGAACTTCTAGACTGCTGGCGGCAAGGGTGAAGGGAACAAAAGGAAGCATTTTTTAAAAAGCCAAAACTATATTTCATTTTCTGAGTCATACACTGCTCTGTAGTCATTATAAGAATAAAGGGATGAAAAAAAGAGCAACTGAAGAATAAAGAACTCTTAGCCAATAGTGTGAAAAATGAGGACTGTAATAAAATGTTGAGAAAAAATAATTACGAAATCTTTAAAGTGAGCTAAAAATACAAACTTAGGAAGCAGTACCTGCATCATTCTTGGGGAAGATCCACATCAACTACAATAAACTGCAGAAATGCAAGGGAATTTAAATTCCCTTCTTAGACAACATGGAAATGGTATACAGCTAAAAAAGGTATAAACTATAAGGGAAGAAAAAAATGGAACCCAGGTAGTAGTGGCCAAGTCTAGAAGGTTTGAGAGGACACAGTTGTAAAAGGGACCTAGGTTGTACCAGGAAAATTATAAGGTGGATAGAAAGACAAGGCACTAGGAAAGAAATAAGGATGTAGAAGGGAAATTAGACACACACAACAAAATAAAATGATGACTGACTCAGATATAAACTACCACAAAGGAAGTTTTATCACAGTACGCCTAGCTCTAAACTGATTGGTGTTTAAACAATCATACGATATAAAACACTGATTACTGATTTATCTGAAACTGTGATAGTAGTATTACTATTGTAAAAGTAACATCTCCATCTTTTAGTCTTACTGAGTTTTCAACCAAAGATATATGTTTGAAAATTTTCTTTAGTTTATTAAAAAAAAATTTTTACCAGAAAAAAAAAAAATTGGTAACCAAACACCAGAAGGAATCCAATTATACTATGACATCACAAGCCTTCATCCTGTTTCTTGGTTCTCTGTATAAAAAGATGCTGCTTCCTTAGCGTGCTCTGCTCTTCATTTTCTCTCTTGTCCGTTTTCCAGGTCTCTTCTACAGAAAAAGAAACACAGGTGTGGTCACCTAGCAGCCTGGCCCTCTGCCCCAGAGTCAGGGTGCACAAGCAGGTAGGAGCAGGGTGCTGACCAGGCCCTCACTGCCCAAGGGCTCACTTACATTTGATCCTTTCTTCCCAGGCCTCTTGAGGCCCTTGTCATGAGCCTTCTTGGCCCGGAAACTGGACACATCGTTGAAGCTCTCACGCGTATTCCACTTGGAGCCTTTCTTCTTTCCACCAAAACCAAACTTCTGGTTTTTATAGCGTCGTTTGGCGTTGGGACTAGGGAAAAAAAGGGGTCTTGCTGGTTACCCACACACGGCAAATCCTGAGGGGACTTCTGGCTCCACAACACTTCCAGCTACCTGTCTGCCTACAGAGCCCCTTGGACACTATGCCGCTCAGAATGTCACCCTTGCCTCTTCGTTCTTACTCCACAAACTGCTCAGACAAGCCTATCGATTTCTGGTTTTAACCACCAGAGAAGGAAAACAAAGCAAGAAGTAGGAGAGGACCCACATATACCATGTGGCTCCCCACTTATCTTTGGAACAAAGATCTTTTCAACTAAATTTTGCTAAATTTTTTGCTGTTTTTATTCCTCTCAAGGATATCTGTATCTCACTATCCCTATATTACTGGTATACATACAATAAATTTAAATGTAATAAAATTTAGAACTAGTTATCTTACAGGAATCTCAAATTCAGCACATCCAAAATCAGCCATCATACCCCCTCCTAGTCTGGCTCCACCTCCTGTTTACATGCCCTGACTTGAGGGTGGTGGTACAACATCTTCCCAGACACCCAGGCTAGGAGCCCAGGAGTCAACCTGGATTCTTCCTTCTTTCACTCTCCACACCCCATTCAATTACTGAGTCTTCCTGATTTAACCTCTTGAATATTTCTTCAATCCATTTTCCCTTCTCTAGCCCCATTATCACTTTCAGGTCATTACCACTGCTCATCTGGAATTCTGTAACAGTCCCCTAGTCAATTTCCCTACCTCCTCCAAGTCTATCCCAAGTACCACTTAATTTTTTAAAACATGAACAAGATCTGTTCATTATTTTGAGTGAAGCCCGTTATCGCCGCACTGCCTACTGGATAAATTCCAAGCTTCTCAGCAGGCCAGACAAACATGGCCTCCAGGCACTGGCCTAAGTCCCCTCTGGCCACATCTCACCTCCTCACCCTGTATTCCCAGTGATACCAAATACTACTGTTCCTCACATACAAACTTGCTGTTCTAATCTCTGTTTTTGCTCATTTATGTTCTTTTTTCTTCCCTAAACCTGCTTTTCTCCTATTTTCCTGGTTAGTTCATACTTTTCAGACTAAGCTCATGGGAGCCAATTCCCAGACCCTGTTCCCCAGATGAAGTCAATATTTCTAAAACATGCTTCCATACGACTCCCTACATGACTCCATCAGAGCATTTACTACTATTCTATGTGGATGCAGGTATGCATAAAGGTGAACGAAAAGGAACAATAATAGCATTCAACATCATGGCACAGTATTATCTTCAACTTACCAGGAGGCCATGAGACAGGCTCATTTCCATAGATGAGGCAATTAACATTAGAAAGGTAAAGTTCAAAGTCCCCTTCCAATGGAGTAACAGGCTCAGATCTGAAACCTCAGCCTGTACTAGCCATCAACTGTGAGGTGGGAAATCAACTTTTACTGAACATTCACTTAAAATGTGTCAAAATCCTGAAATCGTCTCACTTTAACGTTCAAAGACTGATGGTGGCTAAAAGGCCCATCACGGAGGCCTCTGGGCCCTGGCTGCCGGCAGCAGCCACACACTTCTCACTGAGGTTGCTACTTGTGGAGGCCCCACTGTACCCAGGAACTGCTTGTCCAGCACACACTCCAAAACAAAACAAAACTGAAACACTTCATACCCCTTCTTCATCTTCTGGCCTTTAGCGCCTTCCTTCGTGCCCCGTGCAACAGGTTTCTGATCTCCCTCAAGGAAATCCAGTTTATCAGAGAAGCCTGGGAGTGAATAAGTACCATGATCAGTGCCACTGTCTATCAGCTTCAACTTTTAAATAAAGTTGCCAATTAACTGAATCAATTTTAAGAGATACATTTTGCTCCCCACACCGTTCCCAAACCTTAGGTCCAATAGTTCCCAACCAATCAAGGCCTCAAGCCCTGTGTCAGAATTAATTCTAAGGCAGCCAATGTCCCCACCTCTCCCCCACATGCTTTGGAAAGAGATGTACTTACCTTTCTGATATTTCTTAATTGCAGTCATCATATGTGCTTTCTCCTGTTGCCTCTTTTGAAGAACCTCTGTTTGCACCTGAGACAAGGACACAGGACTATTACCCCACCCCAAAGCATCACCTCCAGTGTCTACCTTCTCTCAGTAATGATACTGACAAAACCACTACCACTAGGGCCTCCCCGGTGGCGCAGCGGTTGAGCGCTGGGTTGCGAAGCTGGCCGAAGCCTCTGCAGCGCAGTTCGATCCCCGGCTGCTCCCCGGCCACAGGAGGAGGGTCCCACATGGCGCGCAGACCTCTCCTGCCGCCCGCTGCTCCCCTCAGCAGTGTACTTCGGTCCTTCTGCCTGCTCTGCTCCCTGCTCTGGCTCTGGTGAATTCTCTCACCCTCCCGCGCTTCTGACTATACCCAGTGCTTGTATAAATAAATCAATAAATAAATCTTTAAAAAAAAAAAAAAAAAAAAAAAAAAAAAAAAAAAACCACTACCACTAAATATTTACTAGCTGCGAAAACTATGCTAAGGCTCTGAGAATATTCTTAGTTAATCTTCACAACAACCCAGTGAAGAACCATCCCCCCAATCAAAGCACAAAGAGGGTAAGTTAACCTGCCAGAGTCAGAGGGAAAAGTACAAAGCTGGTATTTACACCCAAGTGGTCTGACTCCAGAGGTACACTCTTACCCCATTACAAAATCCTGCTACAAAACTGCAGCAAATCATTGTTAGGTCCACACCCAATTCACCCCATTAATTATATTTAGGCAGACTAAAGATCTAATTTATTGTCACTAGGCATGAAAGTACAGTCTGCCCTCTACATTCAAGGGTTCTGAATACTCAGATTAACCAAATGAGGATCAAAACTACATACTATGCAGTTATACCTATGTACAGATTTATTTTATTAATCCGTAAAAATATAACAACCACTTAACATAGCATTTATACTGTTTTAGGTGTTATGAACTATCTAGAGAGGATTTAAAGTACGTGGGCAGATGCAAGTAGCATACACCATTTTATATAAGGGACTTGAATATCCAAGAATTTTGGCATCCACAGGGATCCTGGAATGAATCCCCTGTAAATTCTGAGATGATTACATGAAAAAAGGGGCTCGGGGTGGGCAAAAACAAAACAGGAAAGCTCTCAGGAAAAAAGAAGACATTTCCGCTCTAATGTAGGCTTTCTCAATCTCAACACTACTGAAATCTGGGCAGGATAAGTCTTTGTTGGGAAGTAGACACCCTGGGCATTGTAGGCGGTTCAGGGTCCTCCCCGCCAAGACGTGACAACCAAAACTGTGTCCTGGCATCGCCAAATGTCCCCTGGTGGGCAAATTCAGCTCCAGTTGAGAAAAGCTGCCCTAAGGTTTCCCCATATTACTGACAGAAGCAGTGAAAGAATAGGCCCGACTTTTTCTTTGATATATTAGGTATGTTAGATAAATTGCCCACTTTTTTTTTTTTAAAGAGTTATTTATTTATACAAGCACTGGGTACAGTCAGAAGTACGGGAGGGTGAGAGAATTCACCAGAGCCAAAGCAGGGAACAGAACTGGCAGAGTGACGAAATACACTGCTGAGGGGAGCAGTGGGCATGACCATTTGGGATCCTCACCAGTGGCCCGGAATCAAACTGGCGTTGCAGAGGCTGCGGGCAGCTTTGCAGCCCAGCGCTCAACTGCTGCACCACCAGGGGAGGCCCAAATTGCCCACATTTTTAAGGTGATCTCAGCACCTACCTCCAGATCAACTCAATAGAAGAGTTCTGCAGAGGACAGGACACTACCACACTCTTCCTCCACTGACCACCCATCAGTGAAATGACTCCAAATGTGGAGAGCAGTTCAGCATTCCATATCTTAAGTTTTATGTCCAAAACACTGACAGTTTTAACGCCCAAGCTGATTCTCCTCGAACTTATTTCTTTCCACAACCCTAACTTTAATTTCTTTCATCTTCTTTATTAGAGGACAACGAAATAAAAAAGAAAAACTAAAAGAGGTTTCATGGTATGCCTGCTCTGGTTTTACATTAGAGTTCATCTATACCTAGTTCAAACACAGGTGCCATTTTTTCTCTCAGACTGGATGACAATAATATGATTCCTTCAAGGACTTTATAATCATCTATGCCAGTGAGTCTCAAATCAGAATCACCTGAGGAACTTTTTGGGGAAAGAAGTTTAGAAATCTGTGTTGAAAGTTCCCCAGGGTGATTTTATTGCGAGGTCAGCTTTAGAAACCTCAGATCTGCACTTAACTCTTCCAGCTGAAGCCCAGAGACGTGACTGACTAGCCTGTAGTTACCATGCTACTCCTGGTGACATACAAGTGTTGAGGAAAGATTGTGCTGTGGACATTGGCGTGTGGTGCGTGCACATACACAATCAAACACACACAGTTTATGAAATAACAGACCAGACCAAACACCACAGGGCACGGAACCAAATCAGACAGCAATCTGGTCTGACAAATGCACTCGGCCTCCTCTTCCCATGCATTTTCCTCCTCACCTTCTTTCCATACTTCCTGAGTGCTCGCAGTTGCTTAGCCTTTTCAGACTTCTCCATGGCCGCCTGTTTAGCCTGCAGTTTCTGTCGAATCTAAAACACAAAGTATTGTCAGCTTATGATATTTGAATCTGGGATTACCGTTGAAGGTGCCCTAGAGTAGGGGACAGATAGCCCCAGTTCTGCAAAACCAGTGTTCAAAGGAACCTTGTAAAATCATCTACTCCAACCCCTGTCTTTAATATCTGATGACAATGAGGCCCAAAGGTGAGCACTTTACCCAAGATACCAAAAGTACCAGAATGGAGCTAGAACTTGAAAGCCATCTTCTCTCGTCCAGTGTGCTGTTTGTTCCATTATACAAAATAGCCTACTTGTAGTTTTGTCAGGAGACACTAACTTCTCCCCATTCCTACTATCCACAAACTGAAGTTAAGCCAGTATGTAGTCTCAGTTCCTTTCTCCAATATATCATGTACACAATAAAGACCCAAAATGATATCCGGTACCTAGCCTTTCCATCAAACATATGCATGCCAGTGAAAGGAAAAGCCGATGTCAATGCAGATGTATGGAGATGTGTGTGGGCATCTCTAGATTAGCTTCCCTGTGTAGCAGTGAGACCAGAGCGCCCTAAAATACAGCTTGGGACCAAGGGAATTGTTTAAATATAGCTTGAATTGGAAATTCTCTTCCTCCCAAAGTTAAGTGAAAGCCAAGTTCGACCTAGCTTTAAATTTTACTACATCTGAACCATTCATATATGAATCCCCTCATTTTACAAAATAGAAAACCGTGGCCCAGAGGAAAGGAACTGACTACAAGTCATAGCACTGATCCCTGGGCAATGGCAGGCAAGAACTGTAGTCTTCTCTAAACACCATGCCAGTTAGGAAATGCAAGGCCCACACTTGTGACAATACTTTCCTCCCCATAACTGTATTTATCTAATTCACTGATGTATTCATCGAATTGGTGATCAGCATGAGTCTGAAAGACAACTATTCTCTATTACTGGGCTTATACCTATCTTTTTAAAAACCTTACAGGAGATAAGCCAGCAGGATATACTTAAGTACAAAGCCTCAGCCTTCCAGAGAAAAATATTTCCTGTTTCTTACCTTCTGCATCTGCTGGTCAGTCTTGGCCATCTCTGCAAAATAATCAGTGGGCCGCTTGGTAGGGACTTTGAGCTGATGGAGGCGAGGCAATACTGCAAGCACTGCAGCCTGGGCCTGACGGTAGCTAAGGATGTAAGACAAAGTGTGAAATAAGCTAAAGGAGCAAGATCTTGACTCCTTCTGTCTCTCATGAGTTAAGGGCAGAAGGACTTTCAACATCTGACCTCCACCATGAACAAACATACAAAACTGGATTAAAACTTCATTAACTTGGTATCTAGAAGAAATTTAACTGAACATTCATTTTTAAAAGTGGGAGGGACATATTGCTAAAAATAAATTACTAGTTTAAGAGAATGATCACTGAAAGTACCCATTAACTTACAAACTAATGCCAACTATCAATTCTTTAGTTACTAAAAATAGTCCGTGACAACTTTCCACAAGCAAATTTTTCTTCTAATAACAAAAATCTTTTTAAAAGAATATAACAAAATAAAAGCAGCTAGACTTTGAATTGTGGCTAGTAAACAAAGCGGCTCTTCTGTCAACCAGGGAAAATCTGTGAGTTCTTGGTAGTCAAAAGAAGCCTTCCTGCTTACTCCCACAGGTATGAGGCCTTCTGAGAAGTACAAATTGGCTACTTCCCCCTCCCAATTCTCTAGCAGAAAGACCCATCCTCAGCTTTTCCCACATTTGAAAACATACATACAAGCTCATCTCGCGCTGGAAGTCATCTTCTGGATCAACAGCTTTCTGGTCCTTATTCTGAGGTGTTGTTTGAGATCCACTGATTTCCCGCACGGGGCCCAGGGTGACATCAAGCCTTTCAACCCATTCCAGATCCCGTTTGAATTCAGTCAAACAGTGCTTCAGGCCATTCTAGGAAATTCAGACACTGGGCTCACAAAAGGGGACCAGAAGGAGCCCTGCGTGTCTCTCCCAAGCCCAGAGTGCTAGGCCAACAAACACAACGCCGGTTCCCAGACAATTGACCTTGGCAATGCGTAGTCTTTCTTGGGAGAATTCAACCTCCCGAGCACAACAGTGCCTGGCTCACATCCCATAACGAGTACGCCCCGACCTCGCGCCCTGAGCTCACCACGTCGTTCACCGCCTTCTTCGGCCCCTCTAGCACGACGTTGAGGCCCGGCTTCAGCAGCCCTCGGGAAAACGCATCCTGCAACTGCAAGACACTATCGGCGGTCAGGACCGGAGGAGCAGGGTCCCCGCCCCCGCGCGCAGCCCCGCCAGCTCGCAGACACCTACCTCTCTGTCAGTGACAAGAGACTCATCCGAATCCGACTCCGAACCCGACAGCGGGGGAGTGTCCATCTCGCAGCACGCTCGCTTAACACCTAGCGGGGCAAGCGGGGGGGCGCGAGGCCCGCGCGGCGGAAAAGGGTGCCTCTCGCCGGGGCGGCCTGCCTTCAGCCCCCCACTTTCAAGCCGCGAATCCACGTGGACTCGAGCCGCACCAGCTCCAGCTACTCACCGCGGCGGCGGAGCTTTTTCAAGAGGGACTTCCGCTTCCGGTTTCAGACTCATGCTTCCGGTTAGTCGTTGCTATAGAAACCGCTCCGGCGTTTGAAAGTGCCCGGGTTGCTTCGGATCGGTAGGGCTAGTATCCCTGCATACAAGTGCGGCCTGGTGACTCAAAGAGTGGACGTAAAAGGTGGGAACGAGTACCTGGGGCCTTCTGGAGGAGCAGGAAGCTGCGAGGGAGCAAAGGGGAGAAACGGGGACCGCGGGGGGGGTGGGTGGGGGCAGGAGAGTGGAGAGGGGCTCAGTGGGCGGGCCGTGGGCGGGACGAGGTTGTGAGGGGCGGGGCCGTGGGCGGCGAGGGGCGGGGCCGTAGGCGGAGCGAGGCGGTGAGGGCGGGGATGTGGGCGGGCCGGGGCGGCGAGGGGCGGGGCTTGCTCCTCACCACTCTCACCTCAGCGCTTGCTCTTTGACAGAACGCCTCAGCGGGACACCATGTCCACTGTAGTAGCTCAGACGTTGCATGTTTTTGGTTTTCGAGCCCACGTGGCCAACAATGTCTTCTTCTTCGATGAACAGATCATTATATTCCCTTCAGGAAATCACTGTGTGAAGTACAATGTGGATCAGAAATGGCAAAAATTCATTCCAGGTAAAACCCTTTCCATCATGATACTTGCATTCACCTTAAATGCCAAATATAAGTCTGTACTTTCTGAAGTTTGTAAATGCCAGATTTCTGAAGTTTGTAAATGCCAGATATAATCCCCTAATCCCAACATGACAGTGAAATGAAATGTTTTGAACCAATTTGAATATATAGTGTTTTATCAATATAGAAGGAAGAAATGTCTGCTTTGCATTAACATGCATATTAATCACACAATCACACATGCACAGATAAAAATCTCATGTAAAAATGTTCATTTAAAAGTGCTTTTTTTTTTCCACTGTGATTTATTGGGAAAAAATTAAAGAATCTCTATTCATGCATCTTCAATATCATTGTGTTTGTGGTCCCTAGGGCCACTTTTTGGGTGGTCTAACACAGTTTTCCAGAGTACACCACCTTCATTCAGTGCATTTTGAATCCAAGTCTGATGAACACACTGGTGATTTTCTTCCAAGTCACAAATAATCATTCCTTGTTACACTTGTTGTTGCTAGTCCTGTTGATGATGTACACAGTTTCCAAGGTGTAATTTTTAACTACTCTTTGGTGTATCAACATGTTGTATATTTACATATACATGCGTAACAGTGTATACTGCATATATGTAGTTTTTCAAAGGTAACAAAATGAAGTTCTGTGAACCCACTGCCCAGGACAGGAAGTAGAATACTCTAGTTTTAGTGTTTCTCCCTGCTTGCATTCTTCTCACCACACATACACACAGAACAGACTCATACTCTGTCCTAGACTTTGTAAGTATTCCCTTATTTCTCCATATAGTTTTACCACATATATGTGTGACTTTGCATAAGATTTAGTTTTGTTTTTGCTATTTGCCTTCTTCATATAAATGTAATCACACTATATATTCTGTGACTTGCTTTTGTTCAACATCATATGTTTGAGACTTATGCATTTTGACACATATTAACAGAGTTCTTTTTATCACTATATAGTATTCTACTCTGCAAACTAATTTCTCAAATATACTTATCCATTCTCTTAAGACCTTATTTTGAGAGTTATTTATATTTTCTACTTTTCAAAAAAAATATTTTGTATTTTTATTACAGTAACATTGGCTTATAATACTGTATATGATTCAGAGGCATCCCCATTCACACCTTTTAAAAAGCATGTTACTACACCACACCCACCACCAAGCCACCCATCATCCTCTGTCCTAGTCCACTGGGCTCCTTCTCTCCTTCTCCCCTCTGAAAGCCTCAACTCTAATCAGATTTCTGAACTTTGTTTTGGTGTGGTTTGGTCCCTAGGTTTTATTCTTCTGTAGTCCATGTCTGAGTGAAATCATCTGAGTATTTGTCTTTCTCCTTCAGACTTACTTTGCTTAGCATAAACCCCTCCAGTTCCATCCATGTTGTTCCAAATGGCAATATTTCATCTTTTTTAATGACTGAGTAATATTCAGTTGTGTAATACACCACATCTTATTAATTCACTCTTCTGTCATTGGGCACTTAGGTTGTTTCCATAACTTGGCTATTGTAAATAATGCCACAGTGAACATAGGAGGGTATATATCCCTCAAATTCCTGTTTTAGCATTCTTTAAGTAGATGCCTACAAGTGGAATGGCTAGGCATATGGTAGATCTATTTTTAATATCTTGAGAAACCTCCATAATGTTTTCCATAGTGATTGGGCCTGTCTGCATTCCCACCAACAGTGTAAGAAGGTTCCTTTTTCTCCACACCATGCCCAGCACTTATTGTTTCTGGTCTTTTGTTATGGGCCATTCTTACAGTTGTGAAGTGGAAGTCCATTGTGGTTTTGATTTGCATATCCCTGATGATAATGACAAGAGCATTTTTTTCATGTGCCTCTTGGTATCTGGATGTCTTCTTTGGAGAAATGTCTTCTTAGCTCTTCTGCCCACTTTAGATTGGTTTTTATTTTTTGGGTTGAGTGTTTGAATTCTTTGTAGATCTTAGATATTAGCCCCTTGTCAGATATATGATGTACAAACATTTTCTTCTATTTTTGTTTTAATGATAGTTTCTTTTGCTGTGCCTTTGCCAGGTATGTTGATGCATAGTAAAGATATGACCATAAAAGTAATATAGCCCTAGTATAAATATCCCAGAAACCTAATACTATATGTGTAGGTAAATTTAATATCTCTTATATGGAGCATAAGTTATCAGTACTGGAACAGCTTCCCAGGTATTTGGGAAATGGGAATCAAGTTGAATCCTCACTTATGCCCTCTGCCATCATGAACCCAAGATAGGTTAAAGACTGAAGAGTGAAAAACTGAAATCATAAAAACCTCAAGGCAAATAAGCATGAATAAAAATGAGAGTTTTGGGTGGGCTCTTTTTGGTGGAAAACAGTGGCCATAGTCCTCACCATAACCTTCGCTCCCTCCACCTCAGTTCCATCCCAGGTATCACCAGTCACAGAAGCTTAAATGTCTCTCTTGGCTTGTTTCTCCCCCTCACCTTCTCACCAGGACAACTGCCGAGTCCTCATGGTATTTCTCTAACCCCCCTCTTCTCCATTCCCATTGCCCCTACTACCTTCTTATTGCTTGTTGCCACATCTTACTTTTTAAAAGTAATCTTACTTTTTAAAATAATCCCCCAGCCAGTTTCCTTCCCTCCAGGATTGTCTTCCATACAGGCGCCAGAAGCATCTTTGTGACACGTATGTGCCCTTCTCAACTTTCTAAGTGGCTTCCCATGTGCTTCCTTGGTATGGTAAAGTCCAAACTCACATGCAAGGCTCTCAGTGACCCTAAACCTGGGCTCTCTTCTGAGGCACAATTACTGCAAAGTCCTTAGTCTAATTCCTAGGTGTTGGGTCACCTGCCTGCTTGGGAAAGTGCGGCATCTCTCCCTGCACCTGGTGGTGAAGCCGCAGGTGAAGAGTGCTGGCCACTAGACCAGACTCTATGATCTGACCCTGTTCCACCCTCTAGACCCATCTCCAGTCACCCCATGTGCAGCTCCAGCAACATCCCACTGTTGGCAGTTCTCCCACCACACACCCTTATCTGTGCTCTTCCTGCCACCTGCCACGTTCCACCTTGTCCTCCTTCTGGAACTGTCCCCAGACTTCTCCACACTGGCCTCCGTGAGATGCTCATCGCAGACATTTTCAGTATACCCCAGACATAGTTGTACCAAAGGGCCATAGGGCTTACCCAGTGCCTGTTTCTGCCTGTTTCTCCTGTTGTATCAGCAGTGCATGCCCCTGTGCCTGGTTCACATTGAATCTTGGTAAAAGCAGGATTGACCCTTATTATCCCCTTTTCCCTCTGTTTGCAGGCTCAGACAAGAGTCAGGGCATGTTGGCCTTGTCCATCAGTCCCAACCGGCGATACCTCGCTATCTCCGAGACTGTGCAAGATAAGCCCGTCATCACCATTTATGAACTGTCATCCATCCCTTGCCGGAAACGCAAAATCCTCAATAATTTTGACTTCCCAGTTCAGAAATTTATTAGCATGGCTTTTTCTCCAGATTCCAAATACCTGTTGACTCAGACTTCACCTCCAGAATCAAACCTTATCTATTGGCTGTGGGAAAAACAGAAAGTCATGGCCATTATTAGAACTGATGTTCAGAACAATGCTATCTACCAGGTACCGTCATCACAAGCATTGTGGAAAATTATAAAAATAGCAAGAGCTGCTCTTTTTTTTAAAAAAGATTTATTTATTCATTCATATAAGAGCTGGGGTACAGGCCATATGTGCAGGAGGGTGAGAGGATTCACCAGAGACAGAGCGGGAAACAGAACAGGCAGACTGACTGAAATACACTGCTGAGGGGAGCAGCGGGCAATACAGGAGAGGTCTGCCACGCCATGTGGGTATCTTCCCGGCTGGCTGGGATCGAACCCTCGCTACAGAGGCTGCAGACAGCTTCACAGCGCTGTGCTCAACATGCTGCACCACTGGGGAGGTCCCAAGAGCTGCTCTTATTGAATGCTTTTTAGCACCAGGAATAGTGCTGTTTCTTAACATGCATTTCAAAGTTAGTCTCATAACTACCATATATGGCATTCTTCATTATTAACCCCTTTGTACATTTGAGGAAACTGAGGCCCCAAGAAGGTAAGTTATTCACCCAAGATCACAGAGGTAGAGAAGAGCAGGTCAGGGGTCCCTTACCCCATTGTCTGTCGCCTTTACTCTGGCCCAGAACTGCTCTCTCGTCCCAGGCCAGGGGCAGAGGGAGATTTATCAAACTCTCTCTTCTGACCTGGCCTCTTGCCAGCAGTGTTGCTGGGTCCTGGGGAGGTTTGGGGAATATGATGTAAAGGGAGAGATCTTCACTTTCAATGTAATTACAGTGATACAGGAGCGCAGTTTTCTAATGTGAATTGAGGGAAAAATGGAGTGGCCCCCAAAGAGGTCTTATCTTGATGCAGGCACCACAGTCTAGGATTTAGTACATGATTTTACAAGCTCAAGAACTCATTTCTGGGCCTCCCTGGTGGCGCAGCGGTTGGGCGCTGGGTTGCGAAGCTGCCCGCGGCCTCTGCTGCGCCGGTTGGATCCCCAGCTGCTCCCTGGCCACCGGAGGAGGGTCCCACGTGGCGCGCAGACCTCTCCTGCCACCTGCTGCTCC